AAAAAAAAAAAAAAAAAAAAGACAATTAACTCAGCCCACCTTGGGAGCAAAGCAATCAGTCTTGAGTGATATGCTCCCAGACCAGGAAGTTGCTATCCTGGGAGGAAATCAGAGCCGTAAATTTCTTGTAAATAACCAGGAAGACTAATAAGAAACTTAGTTTTTCTTCAAAGATAAACATTTTGGGACCGCTTAGCAGGTGTACATCCCTAGCCCTTTGTCTCTCAACTGCCTATAAAACCCTTAGACAATGCATCACCCAGGAGTCTCTTGTCCCCTCCTGGTCTGAGCCAGGAGCTCTGCTTCATGTTTTATCTCTATATAAAAGACTCTGCCTTGAGTGTTTGTGAAGTTCATTCTTCCTCTCCACGAACAAGAACCCCAGCATCACAAAGATGTGCAAAGCTACAAAGGCTACAAGACTGGGGTCATGTGAGGCAGTCTTGTGGCTGGCGATGGCTTTCACACATGCAGGCTTCTTCCTTAGTCCCAGGCACTGGCTGCCACCACCACATTGCAGGCTGTCAGTTCTCTGAGGGCCCAAGTCCTCTAACCCATCAATTTCATTCCTTCTATTAGAATCACCATCAGTTCTCACCTAAGGGATGTTTGGCCACTACAGCTCTTCCTCCCCTCAGCTATGACCTGAGGGGTTCTAACACCCAGGTATGACCAAATTAACCTTGAGAAACGTGAGCATGTCTCTGTCAGACTTTAAAGCCTCTGATGATTTCCCTTTCACATACACAGCATCAACTCTGTGGGTAAAATTGTAATATTTCCAGAATATCTCGCCTGGCTTTAGTGTATTTGCATATCAATAGGTGTTTTCAAGGGGTGGAGAAAATTAGTTTAATCTACATATCAGTAGGTAATTGCAAGGGCATGCAAGGGTTTATCTGGATTGGAGAGGTGGGGTGGAGCTTTCTTCTGCTGTAGCTGGGTCAAGAGGGAGACAGAAGACAGCTTGTAAGAAAAAAAGTTTCTTAACTTTATCTCTCCCTTTGACTGATTTAGGTTTTAGCGGTATTTTGCCCTGGGATTTTACCCCCCAGAGTTACAAACTCCAAGCTATCAGCATGACTTTCAAGGGCCTCACTGCCTCTCCCTACCCTGTGCTCTACCTTACCAACTGTTTCTGCAGTACTCAAATAGATCAAGTATCTAGAGAGGAGTTTATGAAACTCAAAGCATTGACCATACTGAGAACAGCAGCTTTAGTAGGTATGAAACTGGTCCTGGTGGTATGGATCAATGCGCAGAGCAAAGGGAACCATGGACAGAACCCAACAGATGCCAGCGCTCAAGGATGGTTCAGTCACTCCACTTATAAATTGTTCCATACAGGGTCCTGAAAATGGCCTCAAGCATATCATCTCACAGAGGAGGACAAATTAGGTCCTAGACTGGAAAGGTCTGGGTACACAGAATCTGTGCATCAAGATAGAATCAGTGACCTGCATGCCTCACATGCTCCATGGCTTTATAAAGTAAAATGATTTTAATTATGATTGTTTCTCTAAATTCATCTGAAAACCATGAGAATTTTTCTCTTGCTGCACTTAGAGCAAATAGGACTTTGTGTCCAGCCATTTTTCATCTTCAACACTGTTCATTTCCTGTCCCAGCCACTGTCATCACCTACCTGGATTACGAGTCAGTCCCCTAACTAGTGATCCTCCTGCTTCCAACCTTGCCTTTGCTACAGTCTATACTTCACCCAGCAGCCAGAGGGACTGTAAGTGCGGGGAGAGGAAATCCTGGGGCAAAATACCTCTAAAAACAGAAATCAAAGGGAGAAATAAAGTTAAAAACCCGTTTATTGCTTACAAGCTGCAGTCCAGGGCCTTCTCTCTTTCCTGCTCCAGGAGCAACAAAACCAGCCCTCCACTCACCTCTTGGGTACAGATAAGCCCTCCTTGCCCAGGTAATTACCCATTGATAGGAGATGAACTTCTTTCCACCCCTGAGGAATGATGCAAATGCAGGAAAGCCATACTTCTCTCCACCCTTGAGCTCATGTTGATATGCAGATGTACTAAAGCCAGGTGAGATATTCTGGAAATATTACAATTTTACCCACACTTAACCTATCAGATGGAAACTTTTTGAATTCCTATCCCCATGCCCTTCCAGCCACACAGCTGTCCTGGCTCTTTCATCATTCCATCACAATTTTGCCCCAGGGCCTTTGCACTTGCTAGTCTCTTGCTTGGCTTTTCCAAGCCAAGAATAGATTTTTGATTTCATGGCCCATTCCTTCACCTCCTTTAGGTCTTTGCTCCTTATCACTTATAGACTTCTGCTTACACTATCAGTTTACTTATTCATCCAGTTTATTGTCCATCATCCCTCCTAGAATGTAAAATTCACCAGGATGGTATTATTTGGTGGTGGTGTTATTCACTGCTGTATCCCCAGTTTCTAAGACAGTGCCTGGAGCATAGTAGGCAAATATTTAGTCAGTAAATACTTACTGAAGAGTGAATGCTTGCGGCTGTCCTTGCCCCAAGGATAGTCAAGCGGCTTTGGTCCAGGCTCTTACAGGCATAAAGCTGTCCAAAAGGGAGAGGTTAAGGAGTTGAAAGAAGAGAACTGAATTCCCAGAGACAGGAATAAATACATAAAATTAAATAATAAACTAGTGGCAAGTAAGCAATCAGTTGGCTCCTTCCAGAACTTAATCTGGAGGACACAGAGATGCTTGGCTAGTTGTGAGTGAAGGGAGAATGGTGCAGACCTGCAGAGAAATAGATGACATGAGAGATAAAGCATAAGCCCTGCGATAGTGTGCAGGGCTGCTTCCACTCTGTGACCTCTCTGGTCCCAGTCCACAGTACCCTCCTACTGAACCCTTTCCATTTTGGGATGTTTAAATGAATGAAATGGTGAATAAGCAAGGGTGTGCCAGCAGGGAGCCTGTGGGCATGCTTGATGTAGAAGGCAGCAGGAAAGGCAGGCTGGGGCTTCCCCAGCCCTATACCAACCTTCCAGGACAGCCTATAAACCCAGGACCAATCAGGGCCCAGTTCTTCATATTCACACAGAAGATTCGCTGGTACCAGTGCAGCTGGTTGCCACCAGCTGGTAACTCCTGCCCTGCCTCTCCACCCACCACTTCCTCCTGGTTGGCGTGAGAGGGGCTCTTTGGTCAGCTTGGTTCTGACAGAAATAACTGAGTCGCCACAATGTTCCTTCCCCTTCTTCCCACCTGCCAGGGTTAGAAGAAAAACTCCCCCAGAAGGAGGCTGAGCCTGGGGGTAGAGGGGTCACTAGGGCCCACAGTGGGTGAGGCTTGTAGGCCACCTCCCTATGCCAAGGCCCTGTGATCTCACTGCTGGGTCAGCCAGGGCACTCTAATGTTCTGAAAACTCTACCCGGATTCAGAGGGAGGGCCGAGCTGAAATATATCACAGGTAGGGACTTTCTGAAGATGATACCTTGGGTAGTCACAGCAGTCCATAAGGCTCTGCTGTCACTGGGTGACCTCACTCCTTGAGGTCCAGTGGCATTCTCTAGGCACATGGTTGATTTTTGTGACCAAAAGAGTTTATGGTTCAGGGACAGAGACTTTGGAACCAGTTGCAAACAGTACCCATTTGCTATGTGGTACTTCCCCCAGAAGCACCGTACTTCCCCTGTGGTGCTAATGAATCTCTTCACCTCTCTGCATCTTGGTTCCTTTCTCTGAACATAGCTCAGAGTTCTAGAGGACTCACCAATCTGTGAGTTCAAATCGGATCCTATTAATCCTAATACTCCCATGTTGTTGCCGTATTACCCCCACCTGCTAGTACAAGATCTCCAGCTGCCTGCAAATCTCTGGGCTATTTCAGCAAGTCTCCAGAGGTATTTCACTTCATTGGTGTGCTCCACCCTGCTAGTGAGCTGCTCCGGGCTTCAAACTTTGCTATTGTTCTACAGCTAAGACTTAGATACAGCAATTCTTGTTTAAAAGCTCCAAGCCTCAGATACCAGAGATGAGGGGAAGCTGTGGTAGAGCTGGGGAGCCTCTATTCTGCTTTGAGTTGCACCACAATAGAGGTGTCCCCAAGCTCTACTGGTTGGGCCTTAGTTAGTAGAGGCTAGAGAAGCAGCTCTTTGAGGTTTGAGGCTTTACTTATGCTCTTCTTCCAGCCTCCCTCTTGAATTCTGATTTATGTTCAGGGGCCTGAGCCAGACATATACTTGTATGGGAAACACTGTTTATAGGAAGGATCCCTGATCCCCTCCAACTAGGAAGACTTTGTTCCTGAGTCAAGCTCATTGCAGTCTGAGTTTCCCCCATGCTCAGGAAGTTCCTCTGCTCCCTCCTGAATGTCTTCTGTAGGGTCACCTTGTTGGTTCTCCAGACAGGCCCAGTCATTCTAGAACTTCTGAAGTGGCCAAAACCCGAGTTTGGCCTTCTGCATATACAACTGGGATATCACTGATACCCTATTTTGTTTGTCACACCAAGGAAAGTGAGCTCCCGCCATCACTCTGTCTCAGGGAAAAGGAAAACATTTCCTGCCTTCTGCCAGGTAGCTTGAGTCTATCTAGAAAGCAAATCAAACAGAACCTGGAAGACTTGTTATTGAAGGCTGTATTTGCACTGTATGACAAGGGGAAGTGTGAGGGGGAAGCAGCAGCTATCTGTGATCCCTAAGTGATCAGGAAGGCCTCCTCCCTGGTCTCACTATTATCAGCCTCCTCTCAACCCCTGCTGCACTCCTCTTGCTGAATATTCCTGAAGCTCTTCCAGAGCTGTGGATAACTCCTTTCAAAGCTTTGGATGACTCCTATTAATTTAGAGCGTCTTGGCCAAATCTCATAATGGGAAAAGTAATAGGAACCCATTTGCGCTTGCTAAGACCAAAGGAATACATTTGCTTAAAGGATATCACAAAGCCCTCAAAGGAACCTAAATACACTTTGGTCTTCCAGGCAGCTGGAGGAGGACCCCACGTGTCCCCCATTCTTCTCTTTTGGCAGGCCACTTTTCTCTACCTTTTTAACAAAGGTTGAAAAAAGTTGCTCTTCAGTGGTAACCCCATCCCAACTTTACATATACTTAGTTGAAAAGGCCATGGAGGCTAAGATCTCTGAATTGCCACACTTAAGAGTGTTAAGGGTAGGAGAATTGGCCCTGCTGGGGTGAGGTGTTCACCCTACAGTAATTAGCCATGGCCATGGCTAACATCCTGAATACCAACCAGCATCTGGCCATCTCGCCCTCAATCCCTAAGTGAGTAAGTTATTTTTATGTAGAGGTGATAGGGCCAGACAGAAATGCCAGAAGCTGTTACCTGGGATAAAGCTTAATTTTAGTCTATGACGGCCCAAACTTTCTTGAGCCTCATGTCCTACTTTTTCCCCTCCATCTCTCATCAGTCTACCCTCCTTGCCTGGAATGTGCATTCCCCATCACCACTTGTCAAACTCTTCCCAGTCATCCAAGGCATCATGCCAGCTTCTCCATGCCATTCTTTTTATACCTTCAATTAAAAGTGTAGGAACAAAATTTCAGACTTGAAAGGACTCCTGACTATCACCTAATTCAACCCTGACCTACTGCAGACAAGTCCCTTATATTTCCTCCCACTAAATCTTCAACCAAGCCCTGCTTACACACCTTCAGAGATAGTAGGCTCATGACTTTCACATGAGATACTGTGTCTCCTGCAGCTCTGCCTGTAAGAAAATGCTTATCTTGTACTACACACTAGTTTGCCTCCTTGTGACTTCCACGTGTTAGACCTGGCTGTGCCCTGTGGAAATGCTCAGGATAAGTCTGTTGTTTTTCCCTCCTGGAAGCCCCTTAAGTAATTTGGACAGGACTCATCACCCTGTACTCTTCTCTCTTTTAGATGGAAGATCCTCAGTTATTCTGAGTTATAAGATAGTGTCAAGTCCTCTGATTATGCCATGAAGAACACCTGTTCCAACTACCATCCTATAATCTGGAACCTCAAAACAAATGCAATAAGGATGTTAAAAGAAATCTTAAGTATAAAAAGGAAGAAAATAAATTAAATACTCAGCAATAATAAGAAATCAGTTAGATTAAATGAACCTACTCTATAGAACACTATTCAACCTAACAAAATATGGTAAATTTACATGTACTAGCATAGAAAGATTGTCATGATAATGCAAGTAGAAACAAAGCAAATTACAAAACAGTGTGCATTACATCTTATTTGTCTGCTACGTAGGAAGTCTCTTTCTTAACCTCTCTCTCCCCCACATCTCAGCCTCTTAAACATTTCATTTTTTATTATATACTTTAAAACACATTGGGGGAAAGATATTTACTGAACTCTGCATAGTTGTTATTTCTAGAGTCCACAGTTGTCTTACTTCTAGAGAACAGAGGATAAAGTTTTAGGGATCTTTCATTATATGTATATCTGTAGTGTTTGTTTTTTATAAAGAGCACGTATTACTTTTATAATCAGAAAAAAAATAATGGATTTGCCATGATTTGGTGATCTCCAAGTATTAGGGTGTTGATCTCTTCCCTCATTCACATTCTTTATATTTATTCATTCAACAAATGCTCTCTAAAGCCCTCTCTAAGCCAAGACCCCAGAGTGTGCTTTTGGCTCATGGAGCCCAGTGAAGCACGGTCCCAGCTGTGAGGAGCTCACAGATGTCAGAGAAACCTTAGCATGATAAACCCTAGATCAGAGGAATGGCTCATGGAGCCCAGTGAGGCATGGTCCCAGCTGTGAGGAGCTCAAAGATGTCAGAGAAACCCTAGCATGATAAACCCTAGATCAGAGGAAACCCCAGGGTTATAGAATCTTGGGGGAGGAACTTCCTAGAGTCTTAGAGATAAGAGTATTTGTTAGGCATTAAGGGCTTTTGGGTGATTGAGAGCAGCCTGTGCAAAGGCCCAGAGGTGGAGAGAGCTGTGCTGTCTTCTGCCCACCCCTTCCACTCTACTCTAGTCCTTCCCCTCCAGTCTATTCTTGACCTAGCAGTTAGAGAGACCCTTTAAAATCACAAATACAATCATGTTATCCCCCTGCTTAAAACCAATCCAGTGACTTCCTCTTTTTCTTGAGACAAAAAGTCCAAAAAGCCTTCACATGACACATTTGATTATGATCCATCAGGAAATATGTTGGCTGTATCTTTAAAAAATTCCAGAATCATGGTGGGGACCCGATAATGGGGAGAGTCTAGTAATGATACCAAAAAAAAGAAGCCAGAATCTGACAGCCTATCACCATCTCCAATCTAACAACCTGGTTGGTGTAAGCCACTGTTGTCTCCCCTGGATTTTTGCAGGAGCCTCCTCACTGTCTCTCTATATCTACTTCCCCAACCCTGTCTACTCTCACCCCAGTGAGAGTGATCATGTCACCCCTTGGGTGTAAACTCTCCAGTACCGTTTCTCTCCTACTCAGATCCAAAGCCAAAGGCCTTATAGCAACCCACAGGCCATGCACATCTGACCCTTCATTACCTCTCTGACATCACTTCCTCCTGCTCTTTCCTTGGCCTACTTGTCACCAGCCACACTGGACTCTTACTGTTCCTCCTACATTCAGGCTTGCTCTGTCTTGAGGCGTTTGCCATGGGTGTTTCTCTGCCTGGAATGCTGTTTCTCCAGATTATCACATGACTCCATCCCTCACCTTCAAAGCCACCTTCTCACTCTCTATCTCTACTTCTGAATACTCTATTTCCTGAGTTTGCCATCACTCTGAGTCTCTTTCTCCTTGTCTCTCTCTCTCGCTCCTATGGCAAATGGTGACTCACTAGGGCTTCTCACATTTGCCCCAGATACAGAGATGAAACTTCCTGCCGCTTGGGATGGTGGGAAGTAGTTAAAAGTGTGAGAGCCAAGGCCATAGGTATCATTTCTCTGGTCTCCTGAGGCAAAGCTTGTTTCTGGAAGCCCCACAGGGCAAACTCAGGGGAGATGGGGCTGGAAACGGTCTG